GAGAGAGAGAGAGAGAGAGAGAGAGAGAGAGAGAGAGAGAGAGAGAGAGAGAGAGAGAGAGAGAGAGAGAGAGAGAGAGAGAGAGAGAGGTATCCTTGTGGAGTACTTGGACGGACTGATACGAAATCTGCAGTATTGTTGTTGATGAGCTTTGTGGATATGTGGATTGAATCATGTGCAAGTTGAGATTGGAGAAGATTGTTCATTCTTCGATATGCATCACAGATTAAAGATTGCTTATGAGATAGGGAGAGAAGAGAGTAGATTTAAGAGTTTTGATTAGCAAGTTAGGATATCAGAAAAAACTTCGGAAAACAGAGTTTGGTCAGTGCCTCCATAGAAGTAGGACTATGACCTAACCATCGTTCTGCCGTTCTGCTTTGTACTCTTTCGTGCTTGTCAACGGACGTTCTCGGATGCTGTTTGTTTGATGCCGTTCGCTAATGGAATGCCACACTTTTGGCTAAGTTGCTGCTGCTGCTGCTGCTGATGGTATCCTCTTCAAGGGGTGATAAGTACTGCCAAACCTCACTCTACCTCCCTTTCGTCTTCTTTTTATGTTCGTTTTGTCTCTTTGTGTTCGTCCGCCTGCTCTCTCTCTCTCTCTCTCTCTCTCTCTCTCTCTCTCTCTCTCTCTCTCTCTCTCTCTCTCTCTGTGTTTGCTTGCCTATATCTGTCTGCCTGTCTTTCTTCCTGCCTTTGTTCCTAATCCCTCTTCGGCAAGCGTGTAGTCCGAACGAGATCCAGAGTGTGACAAAGTGTGAGAGGAGAGGAAAGAACAAATCAAGCTATACCCTTTTAGCAGCTAAGCAAGCGGGCATGGGTTCAAGTACCGGCGGCAGGATTGGGGTTCGACTCCATCAGGCATTGTGTGTTGGACTTCGTGATGTCGCACGGAACGGGCGACAGTGGCAGATGTTCGACTGCTTGGATGACAAAATTGTGACTGGCCTGAAGATCACGGGAGCTACATGTAATGGGGAAGCATTGAGGAAGTTGGGCCTGGATCAGTCTGGTCTGGCTCCCGTTCCCGATCCTGATTGTCATCTCAATCCCGATCTCCATCTTGGTGAAGATAGGCTTCCAGCCATTCGATTCTCAGGTAATGGATCCATGGTGACGTCTTATCATACTATTCACTCGACTTCAGTCGGTCTTCATTCTTCTTCCTCTTCTTCTTCTTCTTCTTCTTCTTCTTCTTCTTCTTCGCCCACTCCTGGTTCTTCTTCTCCTCTTCGTTGTTCTCAATCCACTCCCCTTCATTCTTCTTCTCCTCTTCATTCATCTCCATCTCCTCCTCCTCATTTGTCTTCTTCTCCTTTGCGGCTGCCATATCAGGGTGGCAAACAGATGAGCTATGAAGGTCTACGTCTATTGCCAAACGTGTCAATGCCAGCAACAGCAGCAAAGCGTTGTTTTGTCTCGTCTCCATCATTCTTGAGGAGCAATAGCAAGCAGGCAGTAGAGGAGCAGGTATCCTCTCCTCCTCCTCCTCCTCCTCCTCCTCCTCCTCCTCCTCCTTCATCATCTCCATTATCTCCATCATCTCCTTATCCTGCTCCTCTCTCTCCACCTCTTCATCAAGGACGGGTAGGGCCTAGCGAGGATCAGGTTCGTGCAGCATTTGCATACTGTGCTGAACAAGTTCGGAAGTTCGATTATGAGAATTACCTGTGCGCTCTGCATCTTCCTCCTCCTGTGAGAGCAGTTGTTTTTGCCCTGCGCGCTGTTAATGTTGAGATTGCCACTGCTGCAGATGCCTCGACAGCCGTTGGGTCTCATCGATCCTTAGGTGCTGGGGATGCTGCTCATCATGCGCTCGCCAGTATGCGTTTGTTATGGTGGAAGGAAAACCTCAGAAATGTGCTGAGTGGTAAGAGAGTAGAACATCCGGTCATGGTTGCGCTGGCGGCCGTGCTTGGCGAAACCAAGTTGTCCAGACACTGGTTCACCAGGATATGCGAGGCGCGTATTAAGGATCTGGAGGCCGATGGCCCACCGAGAAACATCGCTCAGTTGGAGGAATACGCAGAGTCAACAGCGTCCGCACTGCTGTATCTCAGTCTTCAGGCGGCTGGGGTTCAGGCTGCAGTTGCTGACCATGTGGCCAGTCACATCGGCAAGGCAATGTGTCTGACGCTGCTTTTGCGCAGCACGCCTTACCATAGCCAAAGGCGGAGGACGTACATTCCCGTCGACGTGGCTGCTAAGCATGGAATCTCCCAAGAGGAGATCTACAGAGGTCAGGCATCTGGCGGCATGGCCGATGCGGTCTTGGAAGTGGCGTCGTCTGCCAAACTGCACCTTGACAAAGCCAGGTCCCTGCGCTCCACTCTCCCCCAAGCTGCCCTCCCTCTCATGCTGCCTGCCGTGCCCATTGGTTTGTTCCTATCTTCTTTGGAGAAACAAGGTTTCAATATCTTCGAGAGTTCGCTCAGCCGGGGCATCTGTGGTGGTGTAACACCTCTGCGGCTCCAGATTCAACTGATGTGGAATGCGTACAGAGGGACGTACTGATGGGCCAACCCCATCACCCACCAATTGATAGGTCGATCGATGGGAAGGAGTCCTTTTCTTTGACGTCGTTAGAAAATGGTCGAGGAAGGCCGGAGGAGAGGGGGGGGAAGTGTGGAGTCCCATTAACATTCTTTTTGCACATTCAAACATGGTTTAAGATCCCGAATGATCTGCTGTTGAGCCATTTCCAACGTGTGCTTTCCATTCATCATAGCCAGCGTTATAGCAAGTGTTAGTTAATTGATTGATTGATCAATTAGTTGAACGGTTTACTGATTGATTGGTTGATTGTGTGTGTGTGTGTGTGTGTGTGTGTGTGTGTTGGCGCACACACATGGAAGCATGCACATTATGACTACAAACAGGCCTGGCCTTGACTGGCGGGGACACGGGGAGTTCCTCTTTAGAAGGGACAAAAGTGCACAAGCAGAATGTGAATATGGTTAGTCCTTCTGGACATTGGTTAAAATTTGGAACGAGTAGATCAGAGCATGGTTAAGGGAAAAAGGAAAGGAAATTGGAATGATATGTGGTAGCTCTGCAACGGGGAGGTTGTGGGCTCAATTCTGTCGGCCCTCGACCTCCCCCGCGCGCAATTAGTTGGTGCTGCTTGGCACAACACCAACTTGTCCCCCAGGCTAGTACATCGCGATACATATCAGTTGATATCGCAGCTCATGGGTTTGAGCTAGGTGCTGTATGGAAGAGGTTCAGGATTCGATTCTGATCAGGTCAGCATATTACACAGTAGGGAGAAAGTTAGGATGCGGGCAGGGATGTTGTGGAGGGATTGATCACGTAGTTGGTTGCCATAGGGCTTTGCTTTCTGTGGGCAGGGACGCAGGTGGGATAGAGTAGGGTGTCCATAGAATGGGAGGGGTTAGGCAGGAGGGTCCTGATTGCCCAACCTTCCTGGGCATAGACCAGAGTAGGCCCAGTTGATGATAGAGGTAAGGGGAATAGATGGTGGGTTAGGCAGGGGGTCCTGATGGTCTGACCTTCCTGGGGATAGACCAGAATAGGCCCAGTTGATGATGGAGGTAAGGGGATAAGATTGTGGCCACCTTCCTGGGGATAGACCAGAGTAGAACCAGTTGATAATAGAGGTAAGGGGAATAGATGGTGGCCTAGTACATACCGATGATTGAGGCTGGTGCTGCTCTGGGTGATGAGTCAGGGGGGGGCTCATAGTAGGGGCTGTCCTGGGGTTGGACAGTGGTGGGATTGTCTGCTTCCCATGTTGACAAATAGATCAGAGTAGGCCTAGTTGATAACAGAGGTAAGGGAAAAGATAGAGACCTAGTACGTATTGATGACGGATACCAGGGCTGGTTTCACGACAAAACACGGCTACAATGGCTGGAAGGGTTTAGTTGATGACCAAGGTATGGGGACGGGTGGTGGCCGTAAACCTACCAATGGCAGAGGCTAGGGTGCCTCCAGATGGTATATAATCGATAATGGTCAGAACAACGACAATACAATCACCAGTGATTAGAGAGGGGTCTAGAGGACTTTTAAAGGTAGAGAGTCGGATGGTGGTCGTACATCTACTCATATAGGCTATAACCTCTACATCAGGGGTCTAGTTGATGACCAAGGTATGGGGATGGATGGTGGGCATACACCTGCCAATGACAAAGGCTAGGCTGCCTCCATATGGTATATCTTCTCTATATACAACTAAAGGAAGAAGCGGTCCTCGCGTGGGGCCCAAGAGAAACCGGGCGCAGCCGCGCGGGACCGCTCTCGGGCAGCGGGCAAGGGGGAATCGATGGTGTGCGACCCTGGGGCCGAGATCGGAGCTCGATACAGGGCGGCGTGGAGCCGGGAAGTGCCCTCCGTCAAAAAGGGAGGCCGCCGGGCCGAGAAATGAGATACATACATTCCCGGCGTTTTTCTTTGTAAGCGGCCGGCGGCATTTTTCTTTGTAAGCGGCCGGCGGCGTTTTTCCAGAAGGGTCGCGAGCGGGCTTCTCGGGATCGGAACCGATCGCGCAAAGGCGGCAGAATGCATTGCTGGTGTTATTTTTATTTTTTTTTTAACACCGGCCGCGTTTTTCCAGAAGGGTCGGGAGCCGTCTTCTTCGGAT